ATTAAAATATATAATACAAAAATATATATTAAAATATATATAAAATTTAACATTGCCATAATTTATAGGTGTTTTATATTCTCTAACTGTTGCTTCACCATTTTTATATTTTTGGTATGTGACAGTAACTTTAGGCTGTCCATTGCTTTGAAGTTTTGCTTCTCGATTGACATTGTGGTTGAAATGAAGTGCTGCAAGTATGTTTCTGATAAAATATGAGAAAAGCAAAAGTTTTAATCAAACAAATTGTAAATCCTTTTTTAGTAAGATTTATCAAGGAAATTGATGTATAAGCATTAACCTGCAATACATGCCATGATACGAATACGCAAACATTTTGGGGGCAAATTGATTGACAACACTGTGGAACCCCTCTAGTGAGCTCGTTTGTGCAATTGGTGAAGCTTTTTTAATGGCATTCAATAGTACTGTCTTTGTCAATGCCTCATGTAGTTTCCAGTACACTTCTGAACCTATGAAATGTATAAATGGTTATAAAAATGTTTGCAAATGGTTATTTATAATTGAATGTTTAACGTTTATAGAATTATGTCATGGATAAGATTGTTACCTTTGGTCAGCCATAATCTTGGGGTTATTATTGTGGCATGACAACATTTATTAAACAAAGAGTCAGGGATCTTCTTATGCTGATTTATTATGTGATACAGAAAGGACTTGAACTTTGCAACAATCAGTTCACTCTCCTTTGGTGGTGTAGATGTTACACTCCAATAGAAATGCCGCACACAGGCTTTGCTCCATCGTCCAATGTGTTCACAGCCTTTTTCTTTTCCAAGCTTATTGAGAACATTTTTGATCTCTACAGGAAGTACATGTATGAAGTAAATACAGAATTTAGAGAAATTGATATAGATTAAAAGTTTATTAATTTTATTAGTCCCAAATTAGAAAATGGAAGGCATTGAACAAACATTATTGTAATTTCAAGGAAAGAATACTTACTTTTAYCAATGTGCCAAAGGTCAAAGAAATGATCAATGACTGGTTTGCCAAGCCTCTTACACATTTTTACGCAGTCCTCACGCATCCACTTTGTAATGCTCTTATGCCTGTCTGAGATGAATGACTTAATGACTAAACCAGTGCCTASGAGAAAGACAAAGGCTTTCTGATGCCCCATGAACTCCATATTTTGGGAGCTGCCACATTGATTTGCCTACAAACAAAGAATATAGAAAATTATAGGTTTAAATTTGTTGTGGATAAAGAAATGACCATGCCAAACACACAAGGAGCAATGTAAAACAGAAATTCCAAACAATATTCAAATCTGGTTATAAGTTTCAGTTGCAAGTACCTGCATAAGAACAAGTTCAATGATAAGGCCAATAGTACAGCAAAATATGGTATAAGTACCATATTTTGCCGAGTGGCCAACACTATCATGCCTTCCATCGCCAGAGATGACAACTTCTTTTCCATTTAAGGAATCAAGGATTTTTTTTG